GAATAATCCAGTTTTTTTTTTTTTTTTTTTTTTTTTTCGGTACACAGGCCTCTCATTGTTGTGGCCTCTCCCGTTGCGGAGCACAGGCTCCGGAAACACAGGCTCAGTGGCCATGGCTCACGGGCCCAGCCGCTCCACGGCATGTGGGATCTTCCCGGACCAGGGCACGAACCCGTGTCCCCTGCATCGGCAGACGGACTCTCAACCACTGCGCCACGAGGGAAGCCCCAGTTTTTAAATTCTCTTAGTCCTAAGCAGTTATGACAGTCTAGAATTATGAAAACAATCACACCACCACCGCCAGGCACCAAGATGCACATACTTTTTTCAAAGAACTACTTTTGTTTCTGTTTTCCTATTCTATAAAATATATATTCACCTTCCTAAAAGACACACCAAATTCTATAACCAATTTCAATTGTTAAGTTAAATTAATTCCATGGATAAATCAGGGGACAACATGCTGGGCTTGGTAGACCTTGTCTTTATTTGACTGTGATAGCAAATAACATCAAGATGACATTTCAAAAGATTTATTAGGCTTTGGGCTGTGCACACTGTCAAAAGAACCAGTAACTGCCTTCATGAGCAAGAAAGCCTGATGGCCCCGGGGCAAAAAGTGGCCTTAAGGCAACTTCACCCCAGCCCCCACTGTACAGGACCTGAAATTCAAGCAGGAACAATCCACCCTGGTCAAAGCGCGCCATCTCTGGTGAGGGTCAGGAACCGACACTCTTGGGTTGCTGGCAACCTAGAGAGCTGCCTAAATTAAAATGAAACTGTAAGGACTGTCACTGGGCCCTGGAACGTTTCTGGAGCACCAGAGCTAGAAAAGGCCCTAGAGAACATTCAGCCTAAGGCCCTCTTTTTATGCGAAAGTAAACAACTGGCAAAAGGCGCTGGCGGATCACTGGCTGCAAGCTAGCAGAGAGGGGCGTAAGGTTTCAGGACATCTATCTCTAAGGCTGAGCCACGCCACACCAGGAGACAAGGAAGGGAGAGAGGTCACCGGGAACTAAGCATCCATCTCAGAGGCACTTCCTGCGGAGCGGAGGTCCACAGAGTGGCTGGGAGAAGGGACCTAGAACCCAACTGCCCGGACTTCCACCCAGAAGCTGTATGACCTCGAGGAAGTCACTTCACCCCTGCGTGCTCCAGCTTCCTCATATATAAAACATAAATTGTAATATTTGCCTTATAAGGGTATTTAGAGAAGTAAATCTGTAAATACACATTGCCTGGCACTCCAGGAGTGTTAGGGACCCTTATTTAATTATCCTCGCTCTCTCCCCACCCCCGCCCCTGCCGACTGACACCATCTGCTGGCACGTGGCCCACAGCGACCAGCCGGGATAGCTGCCCACCTCTAGCCCAAGACCCACCTCTGATTCCATGGGTTCCTTGGCTCACGTTCTCAAGAGAAAAAAGCTGTCTGGTCAAATACCCAGCCCTCGTGGGCAGGAGGCCTCCTAAAATACAAACACAGCCCTCTCGGCCACCTCCTTACAGCTTTGGAAGATCTGGGGTTTTACCCTACTTGCAAGTTAATAAGCCAGCATGCGAGAGTCTCACGGATGCTGGCAGGAGGGACAACACCCCTGTGTCCAAGGCAAAGAACAGTATTCCTCCACGGCAACGGCCATATCCAGAGGGTCAGCACAGTTCAATGAGACCCAATTCCACAGCGCCAGGCATATGCCATGGGCTGCACTACAGAAGAGAAACCCCAAACTCAGGGAACCCAAATCGTTCATAATGGGAGTAATCCTGCCAGACCTTTTCCCCAGAGGGAAGCATTATCCCTATTGCATGAGTGTAAACAAACCCACCCTTTGTTCTGGACAGAGACAGTATCTCTATCTTCATGGGGATTTACTACATAAGCAGCCTTGAAAAGATAGCCAGAAACAAAGGAGGTCAGTTCCTCTGCTCTCCCAACAATATCTAAATAAACAGACATACGTATACTATTTCATTGGCTGGAAGACTCGGTATTGCTAAAATGTCAATTCTCCCCAAGATGAACTGTTGATTCAACACAATCCTAATAAAAATCCCAACAGGATTTTTTGTTGTTGCTAGAAAGTGACAAGCTGATCCTCAAATTCGTATGGAAATGCAAAGGACTTAGAAAGAGTCAAAACAACTTTGAAAAATAAGAACAAAGTTGGAGGATTTACACTACCTGACTTTAATATTTATTATAAAGTATGGTATTGGCGTAATGCTACAAAAATGGATCCACAGAACAAACGAATAGAGTCCAAAAACTACACCCTCTCATATAATGTCATTTGATTTTCAACAAAGGTCCAAGGGCAATTCTGTGGAGAAAGGAGAGTCTTCCAAACAAATGGTGTTAGATCAACTAGGTGGCTTTATGCAAAAAAACAAAAACAAAAAAACCCAACTTTGAGTCATACCACTCAACATATATAAATATTAACTCAAAATGGATCACAGACCTAAATGTAAAATGCAAAACTATAAAACTAATAGAAGAAAACACATTTAAAAATTCCGTGTGGCAAAAATTTCTATACCAAAAGCATGATTCGTAGAAGAAAAAGGACAATAAATTAAACCTCACCAAAAAAATTAAGAACTTCTGTTCTTTAAAGATGCTCTTAAGAGAATGAAAAGACAAGCAACAAACTGAGAGCAATTATTTGCAAACTACATATCTGACAAAAGATTTGTATGCAGAATATACAAAGAACCTCAATACTCAATTGAAACAACCCAATTTTTTTTTTTATACAGCAGGTTCTTATTAGTCATCCATTTTATACACATCAGTGTATACATGTCAATCCCAATCGCCCAACTCATCCCACCACCACCACCGCCCCCCGCCGCTTTCCCCCCTTGGTGTCCATACGTTTGTTCTCTACATCTGTGTCTCTATTTCTGCCCTGCAAACCGGTTCATCTGTACCATTTTTCTAGTTCCACATATATGCGTTAATATTCGATATTTGTTTTTCTCCTTCTGACTTACTTCACTCTGTATGACAGTCTCTAGATTCATCCACATCTCTACAAATGACCCAATTTTGTTCCTTTTTATGGCTGAGTAATAACCCAATTTTTTTTAATGGGCAAAAAGGTGTGAACAGACATTTAATCATAAAAGATACATGGATGGGCAAATAAATACAGGAAAAAATGCTCAACATCACTAGTCATAACATAAATGCAAGTTAAGACCAAAGTGAGTGAGGTATATCACACCACTCCCGGAATATCTAAAATTAAGAAGAAGGACCATGCCGAACACTGACGAGGATATGCACAACAGAGGCGGTAACTCTCTGCTGGGGCGGGGGCTGGGGGGTGCAAAGCAGTGCCGACACTTTGCAGCACAGCTTGGCAGTGCCACAAAAATACCTACTACGTGAGCTAGACAGTCCACTCCCAGGTGCTGACCCAAGAGAAATGAAAGCCGGTGTCCAGGCAAAAACATACAAGAATGTTCACAGCAGCTTTATTTGCAAGAGCCAAAACCTGAAGACAGCCCAAATGTCCGTCAACAGCCGAATACATAAAGCAACTGCAGTCTCTCCACATGACAGAATACTACTGAGTAATAAGGAATCAACTATTAATACACACAGCATGGAGAGATCTCGAAGTAATTATGCCGAGTGAAAGAAGAGAGGCAAAAAAGAATACACAGTGCATGGTTCCATTTATATAAACCTGTAGAAAATGAAAACTAACCTGTAATACAGAAAGGAGGCAAGCGATTTTCTGGGAAGAGGGGAACAGAGGGACGGGAAGGAGGGATCCAACAAGCACAAGGCACCTCTCGAGAGTGACAGGTGTGCTCATTATGTTGACTGTGATGATGATTCTACGGGTGTATAACTTACGTCAAAACTTACCAGTTGTTTGCCTTAAATGTGTACAGTTTATTGCATGTCAATTATACCTCAAAAAACCTGTTACAAAAAATAAGCATTTACCACCAAATGGAACTGAAGCTCAAAAACAGAGATTGATCTGAATTACAAAAAAATAAGGAAAGGTAATTTTTTTGCACACTTGAATGAAATATGTTCCTACTGAAGACATGGTATTAAAAAGTATGATAAACAGGATTTCCCTGATGGCACAGTGGTTAAGAATCCGCCTGCCAATGCAGGGCACACGGGTTCGATCCCTGGTCCAGGAAGATCCCACATGTCGCACAGCAACTAAGCCCATGAGCCACAACTACTGAGCCTACACTCTAGAACCCGTGAGTCACAACTACTGAGCCTGCGTGCCACAACTACTGAAGCCCGCAAGCCACAACTACTGAGCCCGTGCGCCTAGAGCCCGTGCTCCGCAACAAGAGAAGCCACCACAATGAGAAGTCCGTGCATCGCAACAAAGAGTAGCCCCTGCTCGCCACAACTAGAGAAAGCCCACATGCAGCAATGAAGACCCAACGCAGCCAAAAATAAACAAATAAATTTATATTAAAAAAAAGTATGATGAACAGATTGGGACAAAATTTTAGGTTAAATTGGTGGTTAGGGAGAAAAGCCGGAGAAACAGTAAAGACAGCTTTTTATTCCAAAGAAAACAAAAAAACACATCAGATGGATAGATAGATAGCCGGATGGAACTTCAGAGCTGCAATCTCTCAGATTTCTTTTTTCCCCACGTTGCTTAACGATGGGATTTCCCTATACCTGATGTTCAGAGCCACAGACAGCATACATAGTGCTGTATCGTTCACAGTGAAAGGGACAGGTTAAAGCCACTTATTAGCTGTTTTATTAGATAATTTTTCTTTGTGTCACAGAATCATAACTAAATTGAAAGCGATACTTCAGAAACAGAACTAGAAATAACAGCATACCAGTGAGTTTTCTATAATTTGAAATCTTTTTTTAGGAAGGCATGAGAACACCTTGGGATGAACAACCCTCATCTCTAATACTTTACGACCTCCTCCTGCCACAGGGGAACAGGTGTATAAGGAGACGCACAGGTAAAGCCCATCCTTACCGCTCAGAAGCCACCACAACAAAGGGATGAATCCTGGACTCTCACTAATGTACTTCAAGCCTTTCAAATTGATGCTCACGTTGTACAGGGACATCAGCATTAATCTGAAATGTAAAAGAAAATGGTGTTGACATGCTGCCCCTCCATATTGCATCACCCTAAATATATCTCCTGGTTCATAGGACCTTAACATATTTAGGGGTGCCCTTATGCCCTTACACTTCAGATGTCCAACTCTAACACAATCTGGATGACAGGTATAGTAAGCAGAAGTATGTAAAATATTTGTCTCTGTGAGGCTACCTGAAAATGGGAAATTTCAGCAATACTGCCACGTAACACCACCTCTTATAAGTTCACATAATCAAGAGACACATATGCAAAGTGGGCACAGGGAACCTCAAAACCATATTCATTGAGTAATCCCTTTTAGTACCAATCCTGCATTTATAGACAGATAACCCTCCATTCATAAGTATACTGTACTCTAAAAGTTCAATTCACTGTTTAAAATTTAATCCTACCTTTCATTCAGTGAATGTTACCCATGATGCCTGGGTGGCCAGGTCAGGCCGTACCATCCTGTTTAATCCACGGCAAAGGGATGGAGAGCACCACAATCCAACCACCCCTAACAACCAACGATCCTACTGACCTGGAGTTAAATAGGGTCTTACAAGTGGTCTTGGGAACTGACCACGGCTAGTAATACAGAGTCGAATATTATTAAAAACTGGAAAACTATAGGACTGGTTTCTGATAATACTGCTGAATACAGAGACCCCCAAAACTTCATACTGTACAGGAATAGAAAAGGCTACACAAATATTTTGCAAAGTCTTGAAAAACATGAATGACCTTGTAAGAAATGAAGGGAAAACCATCTCTAATCAGGAACTTAGTGAGAGCTCAAATTCAGAAAGGTGAGCCCTAAAGATGACAGATTCCAGAGACACAGAATGTCAGTGTTAGTGCCTTTGTGCAGAGGGACAGAAAGAAAAGCCTCAGACCAACACAAGACAGGACTTCAGAGCACAGACCCCTTCAGAAAGCCAGGAAAGAGTGAACTGTCAAGCTTGGCATGATTGCATACTTTCTGTATTGCCTGAAAATCCACAAGCCAATAATTTTAATAAGAAAGTAGACCTGGGATGGGAGCTGCTCCCGCCACCCGGCCACAAGGAACATTCTCTTAAAGGAAAGCACCCTCAACTGGGTCCTCAAAGAATTCTCACAAATACAGTGCTAACAATTTTAAGTTCATAATAAAAATCACAAAACACATGAAAAATAAGACCTTAAAGTAACAGCACAAAGAACCAATGACAGAATCAGCATAAAAAAATTATCAGATACTGCAAGTATCAATTACCAAATAGAAAACAGCTATGTTTAATAGGTATAAATAATTCAAAAAAGAAATTTAAAACATCATCAAGGAGCTACTGAGTATTATAAATAACCAGGCAGCTCAAAAAAGAACCCAGTAGAACTTACAAGAATGAAAACTTTAATAATCAAACTGTAAAACTGAAGGGTAATTGACACCTGGGAAAGGAGAAATACTAAACAGAAAAGAGAGCTAAAGAAGGGCTTCCCTGGTGGCACAGTGGTTAAGAATCGCCTGCCAATGCAGGGGACACGGGTTCGAGCCCTGTCCGGGAAGATCTCACATGCCGCAGAGCAACTAAGCCCGTGCGCCACAACTACTGAGCCTGAACTCTACAGCCCGCGAGCCACAACTCCTAAGCCCACAAGCCACAACTCCTGAAGCCCAGGTGCCTACAGCCCATGCTCTGCAACAAGAGAAGCCACCGCAATGAGAAGCCCACGCTACGAAGAGTAGCCCCTGCTCGCCACAACTAGAGAAAGCCCGTGCACAGCAACGAAGACCCAACGCAGCCAAAAAAGAATAAATTAAATAAACTTTTTAAAAAGAGAGCTAAAGAAATTGCAGGAAATGGAGCAAAGCTAGGGAGGAGGAAGCCCAGAAAGGCAGCTACCAGACAAGGGGAGCACTAGCGAGCATGCAGAATCTGCCCAGGCTGCGGCCGGCTCTGACCCGGCCACTGGACGAAGCAGACACTACCGAGCCCAGTGGAGAGTGAGAAGAAACCACGGAACGAGGCACAGATTTGGCACTGACCACCTCGGGGGGGCCAGGGTTTAGGAGTCAGGAAGAGCTAACTGCCTGTCAGGACAAACACCAGTTCTCTTCAGGAAAAGGTACCAGAGCCCAGAGCCCATCTCCTGCAGTGTCCTATGTGTGCACAACTGAACATTTAACCAGCAGGGCCGGCGAGGGTGAGGAGAACAAGGCACTTGCTTTGGTTGCAAATTTAAGGGGTGCCAAAAGAGCTTAGTAACCAAGGTTTTTAAAATATATTGTAAAGCAACTTTTAAAAATCAGAACTACTGCAAAAATTCCATAATAAGCAATATATCAAAATTTAAAATCAAGATGGGATCAGTAATAGTACTATGCCAAGATATATTAGAGCTTGAGGCAAAAGGAAAATCAATAATAGCGATTTAGTCCATTAATAAGGGATCGATTAAATTATGGTACACACATACATGCATGCCATGGAAAATGTTTATTACAGTTTTCTGTTAAAATAGCTGGTTTCGGGCTTCCCTGGTGGCTCAGCGGTTGAGAGTCCGCCTGCCGATGCAGGGGACGCAGGTTCGTGCCCTGGTCTGGGAAGATCCTACATGCCGCGGAGCGGCTGGGCCCGTGAGCCATGGCCGCTGAGCCTGCGCGTCCGGAGCCTGTGCTCCGCAACGGGAGAGGGCCGCAACAGTGAGAGGCCCGCGTACCGCAAAAGAAAAAAAAAAAAAAAAAGCTGGTTTCCCCACTAAGCTTTGTTTGTCAAAAGCAAGCTCCACAGCTGATTTGTCTTTACAGACACATAGGCTGGTACAGTACCTGGGACATGATAAGCGCTCGGGTTCAATATGGAAAGTGAACCAGCTCCCAGCGATTGAGAGCCTCAGCAGGGCAGCGTGTGGAGACGGTCTGTCTCTCCTCCTATTTCCATGGGCATTTTCAAAGTCAAGGCAACGCTGCCGTCCAAGAAGAGAACACCAGACTAGCGCCCTTGAGAACAGTAATGCCCAGGTCTCAAATTACGATTTTCAACCTCGCCACAGGCCACAAAATGAGCCAAAATTACAAACGCTCTCAAGTTTTCCTGACAATTCTTACAGATATCCAAAATCTATGTACTAGTAGCCATTTAATGAGTTATTAAGGGATGTTCAAATGTCATATTCATGAGGAAAATTCAACACATTGACTAGAATTTTCTGAGCTCTCTAATCCAGGATCTCAAGAGGAGAAAAGTTCAGATCACCAACACAGATAGCTGGAATCCCTCAAAATTCAATGTATTTCCTACGCTGCTTTCAGGCTACAACAGCAGGAGTGAGTCACTGCAACAGAGATCGCATGGTCCACAGAGCCTAAAATATTCTATGTGCCCCTTTAGAGGAAAGCTTGCCAACCCCTGCTTTAGAGAATGAAAAGAAAATAAGCCAATCTTCTCTAGATCTTAAGAGGCAAAGTTAATATCTGGGTGATGACTGAAATATGGGGCAAACTCCAGATAATATGTCTAGTTGAAATTCTTCATTGACTGCTGTTTAACTTTGAGGTGGCAAAAACACAAATTGACAAATGTCTCTAAAATTTCATATTTGGTCACAATCAGCCAACATTAAGAAGCTAAAATGAGGGACTTTCCTGGTGGTCCAATGGGTGACTCTGCGCTCCCAGTGCAGGGGGCCCAGGTTTGATCCGTGGTCGGGAAACTAGATCCTACATATGCTGCAACTAAGATTCCGTGTGCCACAGCTAAAACCCGGCGCAGCCTAAGTAAATAAATAAATATTAAAAAAAAACAAAGAAGAAGCTAAAATGGAACAAAACTAATTGCCACGGCCATGGTGCCACCTGACCTCATGTTACTGCCAGGCTACATCTTTCGGAAGACCAGAGAATCCTCCAAGGTCACACCACGACTTAGCAAACAACAAACCCTGAACCACTTCCTGTTTCTTATGCAAATACTTTCTATTCCAACATTTCTACTCCAACCAAAAGCACTCTGTAGGGCTTCCCTGGTGGTGCAGTGGTTGAGAATCTGCCTGCCGATGCAGGGCACACGGGTTCGTGCCCCGGTCCGGGAAGATCCCACATGCCGCGGAGTGGCTGGGCCCATGAGCCACAACTACTGAGCCTGCGAATCTGGAGCCTGTGCTCCGCAACAAGAGACGCCACGATAGTGAGTGGCCCCCGCTTGCCACAACTGGAGAAAGCCCTCGCACAGAAACGAAGACCCAACACAGCCATAAATTAATTAATTAATTAATTAAAAAAAAAAAAGTATGAGTTCAACATATGCCCTTTAAAAAAAAAAAAAAGCACTCTGTAAATAATGTATCAAAGTTTCAACTGTCAGGTCAAAAGAGACCGCCCATTCAATTCACTCTTCTGCTACTTCAGTATTAAAAGGAAATGTCATTTCCCAAACTACTGTAGTACTAGGAGTCATTTGTTTCTTCCAATGACAAAAAAGTAGGTAAATTCTGCTTCCTACCATGAACCTAAGCAGACGATACATTATAAATGGATTCATGGGCTGCAAAAGAGCAATCTCCCCATCTCTGCAGTCTTGAGAATTTGAGAGGCATCTGACATTGATAATAGAAGGACTGAAAGCAATGCTAAAACAAAGGTAGCAATAAACTTAAAATGCTACGCAAGTAACTCTCCTTGAATGACAAGGCCCTCTCTCCACCTAGATACACGAGGCCTGCGCCTGGAGGCTGAGCGGGCTCTCCTGGTGAGACGTCAGAAAGCCACCCCCCAGGCAGTCTGACGCCCAAGGCTGAGGTGCTCAAAGTAAAGGTGATGCGGGTGAGCTACCTTGTTCTTCCTTGTAAAAGAAATTATAACTTGTAACCTAGAAGCAACAAAGAATAAACACACCCAGTACTTCAAAACAAGCCAACCATAAAAATAAACCAAAAGGCATGACTTGTGATGTCTACTGGCCTGAAACAAAACCCACAAATCAGTCATCCAAAACTGACTAAAATC